CCCCCCCCCCCCCTCCCCCTCTCTTCTACCCGAACTTAGTCCAGTCCTGCCAGATGCCACTAGTGTTCCCATCTTGCCGCATATAACCCTTCAAAGTTGTACGCTCTCCACGGGAGCAGGAGCTATGAATTTCCAGTCACAGACACACCGAGACACATACTGACACACACAGACACGCTTAGAGAGTTATGTATAGTAGGATATTTGTTTCCTAGTGAGAAGTAGCAAATGGAGCCAATATGAGGAATACATGCGTACTCGCTACAAAATCATGACCAAAACGACGGTCTGCTTAGCGCGTGAAAGATTAGAATTGAGGAATCACACGAAGAAATCTCCTTTATTTACTTGCAATCCTGCATCTCTAGCATTTGTTGGTCATTACCCGAAATATAAAAGAAATAGAACTTGTTATATTTGTAAGCAGAGGGAAAGGAATCAATCAGAAGAGACGAATAGAGTGGTAAAGCAGCAGATCTATGCGTGCAAGACAGACTCGTAGCAACGAAGAAAGATATGAAAGTTCGTTGTCGTTGAGGTCCCCTTCGTAAATTATTACTCCTTGTCCCACCCTCAGAATTCTGCATGAGGGCCATGAGAGAGTAGCCGTGTAGTCGTAGAAAGTCAACTAGCAGGAGGAGAGCATATCTCCACGAAATTCTACGGCTCTGCCCTGTCTAGAAATTGAAATTATGTGACATAAAAGAATTGTTATGCTCAAGTCAGTCTGCTGACGGCGCTCCTTCCCTTTTTAGAGGGAAGAAATCAGCGACCTTCAGCAAACTTGATCCTCCCCAGAACTTATGAGATCATAGTATTTCGGTGACAGCCCACCCTGGCAAGGCAACCACAAGCATGCTTCATTGGACTCCATAATCTGACCTCTGTTCCGAAGTAAACAGCGCTAATATTCAAAAGTCAATGCTGACCGAGGGGCGACGAAGAAAAGTACAGAGGGAGAGAGGTACTAAACGCTGGGGTAGTTGTAAGTAACAGCCATACGAAGCTGCCTCCGGAAATTTACTAGTAAGTGGCAAAACAATTTTAGCTTGTCGTGCGCAAGATTAGGTTGCATTCATGCTCTCATCTTTTAGTGCCTAAACTGATAGTCGTCATTCGGTAGTTTGCGTTGGCGAGTGCAGCATTACCGTAGCGGAACAGGCATGTCTAAGCTTCCTAAATGTATGAAATACAAACATTAGTAGCATGTTTAACGGGCCACATTACATTTTCGGACTCAACAACGCCATCGCCCGCTGTGCAGAGGTCAAATTGACTATGAAACAGCGGATTATACGTTGCAGCAGCATGACCCGCAGCTTTATGGTCTGTAAATTTCACGCTGGACTCGAATATTGGCTAAGGGATAGTTCAGAATTGGAATATTAAATCAATGTAGAAAAGTGGAATCCGCAACGAACGATACCTATTCATAGATTTTATAATTCCCTCTTCCCTTTCTCGTGCACTTCACATTTCAATTCTACAATGTTCCGAAGTATCCATAAGTACCTAACACTAGCGGATTGCAGGATTCCACTAGAAACCATTAGCTTGGGTGTGGATACTTCGGCTACAAACAAGTAGTCAACTGAAAACTGATATTAACCTTGAGTGTGCTCAGAGTTCTCCCATCTATCACGTGTAGCCGATCCTCCTTGTCTCCGTAAACTAAGTACCTCCCACATGGAGACCATGTCACGTACAGATTCGCTGCTGAAAATGACCTGATATGTGATTCACTCCGACTTCTCATGGAAGTGTCTAGCTTATCCATATCCTATTAATAGAAATTTAATGGGAAGCTCAAATACTGGAGATTTCATTAATGGACTGATAGGAAAGTCAGCATTTTGCCAGCATGCTTTGCAAAAACTCCGAATATATAGACAATCAAAAAGCTATACGTTTAAAATGACACGACACGGAGCATACCTCTCGTAGACAATCTGGTGTGGGTTTTCTGTTGACGAATGTCCCAAATAATAATGGACTTATCAGTGCTCGCCGATGCTAGAAGATTCGGATTTGTGCGATGGAATGCTACCTAGAAATACTTTACAAGACTCTAGCAGAATAAGCAACAGTACATCCGCATGACGCAATGAAATGATCCACCATGACAACGCTTAATGGCAAATCGCTACGGAAAAAAACTCGATCCAGCCCACAAAAACATCCCCGTTATGTATGAGGCCCTTTGACAGAAATGAAAGACAATGAAAGAAATGAAAGACAAAGAAAACCAACCTGGTCAACGGAGTCGTCATGTCCTTGACCGACGAATGTGCATTTTACTCGACATGACGAGTCCACAGTTCCTACCGAAACTCGTCGATCCTGTGATCCGCAGGCTAATCGAGTTCCATCGCAATTCCACGATAATGCATGCGCTCGTTGCACCTAGAAAGGTCCTTTGAAAAAAAAAAGAAAATCTCGCCAATAGAAAAAAACAGAATCGAAGTTACCTGCATGTCATAACCGCGAACACGATGATTAGCATCAAAGTACGCGACGGCATCAGCGCTTGAACGGATCGTGCGAGACGCCTTACCGCGAATGTCTTTCTTCACTGTCATCGAACTTGCTTAAAGATACGACGAGCTATATTAAGGAAGCCAGAAGTACCTGCATCCTCAATATGAGCCTGTTCGATGTAGAGATATGACTTCAGTCATGATCAAACACATTTCTGTTATCAATGAAACACAAACCAAAAAAATTTAATCTTTACCAACAAAGAAAAATCAACAGTAAATCACCACCAAGACAATGGAAAACCCTAAACATGCGACAATTTCTTGTCCTCGAAACAGCGAGCTATGCGTAAAACCCGAAATTCACCACTTTAAAATGTATTTTGGTGAAAAAAACATGACCGTTGAAAGATGAGGGCGAATATTTTTAAGTTAATCAGAAATCAACGAAACCACCGGGATCTGCTCAACTGCAAAGGCTGAATGGAAACATAGAAAGGAAAGAGTGAATGTAAATGGCCGAAGATTAGGGAAACAGCCGAATCGCACCCTTCACAATCGTCTTTGAAATGGCTTCTTCAAATGCTCAATAATCTCATGCTTCTTTTCAGCGGTTATATCCTTTTTTGATACCAATCCATCCAGAATTTGCTCCATTGTCAAGGCACTGAAATTAGAAAGATTTCAGCAAAGTCTGACCACGCTCAAAATGAAATAAAAATGAAGTACTGGGTGCGCCATAACTACTAGGAGTTTAATTTTTCCGAGACAATGAAGCACACACGCCTTTGGAATGACCAGAGCGCCCCCGTAATTCTACTGTCGTGCCCGTCAATCACTAATACACGGTGGGAGAAGGCCTTGCTGCCAATAGCGGCATTACTTAAGCTCTCCACATCCTCCCTGCCACCGCCTATAAGGCCTCATGTTAATTCCACAAACTTTGCCCCTCGAAGAGGCAAAGGCCCTTCCAGAAAAGCAGCAAAGAGAAGAAGTGACTGGACATCTTCACCATTGTCACCGCTTAAGGCACGAACGAGATAGCCAAGGATATGAACGACAACGCTACTAGCAAAAATTTCCAAGGCAATTTAGACCTCACCCATGATTTGTCGAAAAATGACCCCTCTTTTGAAGCAGATCGATTTACGCATCAGATAAAGAACCTCTTCTGGCTAAGATGCATCTGAGAGCGCCTTAATCAGCAGAAGATTCTTCGCCGTGTAGTTCTCTTCAACAAGCAAAACAACAGGATGCTTTGTAAATTTTCTGAAAAAAAGCCAATGTAAAATAGGCTTGAGAACTCCTCACCCAGCCCACATTATGATTTGGGCTGGCAGTCGGGGAAACATCCCTTCATTTCGTGGATCCGGGCATCAAATCATGCGGAAAATCTACAAGCTGGAATCTTGGATTTCTCCCTCATCGCATAAGCAATAGCTCAGGAATGGTAAAGACCAAGACCTTCAGACCTTCCGCTATTGCATCTCCCCCCCTCAGAAGGCGAGAAATTCCTGAGTGTGACGAAAAAAACTGCTCAGCTCACTCTCAACTAGAGAACAACCTTCCCCGTTGACTTAAACTCTCTCTGCTCGCAGCCTACTTGGCATAGTCGTAAGTAACAATGCCTCGCGCTGCAAGACATCAACTCGCTCAGACCATCCTCCGACAACTAATACTTGCTTCGGGTGATTGACAATTTCCTGTGCATATAGAGAAGATCTTATTCGAAAAAGCTAGTGGTAAATTGTAAAAACTCTTTCGGCGAGCTGTACTCAAAATTACACATTGAGCTGTACTCTAGATTTCACATTATTTCAGCGATCCACACCTCCGTAGTTAGTTTAGGCGCACCCAGTACCTATAAATATAACTACCTATGAAAACTGATTTCGGCGCATGTAAGTTCTTCAATAGCGCCCTGCTGTCTGTCCACTACAGCTACTGCATCCGTAACCTGAATTATATATCTTTCTTTCCCTGAAATGAAGATCGTATGAACGTTCGAGAGAAAAAATTACTGTAGAACTTGGGCAATGTAATTTGCGCCGAAAGATAGCGTTTCTAAGAACAATTTATGGTCGTTAATTGTAAATGCTATTGATAACAACCTTCAATCCCTCATTGCGGAGAGCTTCCGCCGTTTCACGAATTGACTCCCCCGACGTAACCGTATCCTCAATGAGAAGTGCCGTGCCACCCGAAGTATAAATGCCCTTAGAAGAGAGAATATGTAGAGTGTCAGCTACTAGAAAACTCTGACCACCACAGTTTTACCTCGATGAGCTTACTCGTTCCGTAAGATTTGACCTCCTTCCTTTTCATAAGCATTGGTACATCAAGAATATCACTAACATGCTGAAATTACTATGCTGACTGTAAAATTCTGAAGACATTAGTAGCAGTCTAACATGACGATATGATGATGCAACGTACCGTAGCTAACGGAAGAGCAGCGTATGGAACTCCTACAATGTAATCGTATTTGAGGTCCTTTGCATTGATAATGTCACAAAGAACTTGTGCCGTCAGGCGCTAGAAGGTTCTGTCATGAGAAATTATATCATCGGTATTCATGAGAAGTTGCTATTACCAGCGTTCTGGGTTGGCTCATAAGTCGACGGAGGTCAATGTAAATAGGGGTCATCTGTCCAGATTTAAGATAAAATTCGCCCAATCGAAAAACCTGCAATACGTGGGATGAAAAAGATTCATGACGAAGAAACTTCTGTGATTCATATTTGAAAAACTACAGATTGATTCTACATATTCCAACAGAAAGAAATTTGCGTCTAGAAGACAGGGTAAGTCTGAAACTAGTCTACCTCCATCGCGTACAGGGCATCAAACAGTCCATGGTCTACCACAGAATCTCCGTTGACTCCGTTAAAAGACATAACTACACAACTATAAAAATGAAACGCATATGTGCGAGCAATATTTTGTAAAAAAAANAAAAAAAAGCTTAACCTTATAGAAGGAAAACCGATTTTGGAACGAGCCAACAGAATGGAACAGCAGTAACGATTCTGTGAATGATTTATATGAACAAACACTAGCAACAATAACAATTCTACTGAAGAGGTCGCTTCACAAACTAAAAACCTAGAAAATTGTTCCACAACAACTGTAGTCACTGTGGCAACTCCTATCCAATACACTCACTTTTGACAAGAACAGCCGCTAAGTATTCACTACTAGTATGAGCAATGATGAAATGATGAAAATTTTATAGAAATCGGTTCGTGCGTTCTCATGCAGAACACATGCACGCTCTCGCAGTGATTCAACTATGATAATGACGAGCAAATTGGAAAGGAATGATATCGATTACGGTCGCTGAGGAGCAATGGGATAGCTTTTTGGAATGCTTCTCCATTCCCTTTCTGTCCGCTTGTAGATCAACTGCCGAGTAAAGTGACCCATTTTTTGGCCTTCACGAAGGTCTTTAACTGACTGAAAAGGATAATATTTATAGAATAAGAATAGAAATATAAGAAGAGATAAAGATACAAGTAGAAAAGTAACCGGTGGAAATGTAGATGAGGAGGGGAGAAAGAACGCAGCCGTTGCTTGAGCCTATTGTGATGCTTTGGAACGTTCCTCAGCGAGAAAACGGAGTTTTTTCACTTTTTTACCCAAGCCTCAGAAGAGAAGAAGCACCGGGATGGGTGAGTAAATTGGACATTCAATTCTTGAACAAACCCAGCGTCCTGCAAGAAAAAATCATCTCACCCACCCCGATGCTTCTCTCCTATTGAGGCCTAGGCGAAAACTATATCGCTTTGATTAAGATCCTTTTCTAGGCACACGTGAAGACAGCTACCCCTCTCTCTTTGCACTCCAACGCTCATAAAAATTGGTGAGAACGGTACCCTCCCTCGACCACACTGTCACTGGGTAGTTATGTAAAGAAAAGGTTCATTGCTCACAGAGCCTCAAAATAGGCTTTGCTCGCCACCATTATAAGAACTAGGCAAGCACAAGCCTCAACAGGTTTAGTTCCAAACGTAACACATTGCAAACATTTCAAGAAGCTGCTAATGAAAAGGAAGGCTAATAGCACTTATAGATGAAATGGGCATCGAACAGTGACGTATTTGATTGGCTTTTTCATTAAGGTATACTATATGGACTTATGATTGATTGATTGCATGAATGACTGTATGCGCTTCAGAGTAGTTTAATCACTCATACGAGGAGTGCTTTCAAGGCTAATATAATCATGACTATAACTCAGTAATATAATCATGCCGAGGTACATAGAAAGCCGTACATGGAGCTTTCAAGGCCTTACATGGACGAAATCAACCATTTACCCATGTGTCAAATGATCCCCATCTTCGCTTATCCCATATCGCCTTCTGTTTTCCTAATTTTGTTTTGTAGCTTCTGCTAGACTAAATATAAAGATGAACCGACATTTAGTCTCTTCGATCCTTAAGTTTCTCTGTCAGCAAACGTACGCTTACAGCAATTGGACATAAGCTGAGCATTACAATTCCTGACGAAGTTACTCTCCAAACTATACTTCTGAGGTTCATAGCAGGGACACTACTAGCGAAAAGAACGTGGTGTTCCGGTAACTGCCTAACCAAAGAGAATAGCTTCATAAAAAAAAGAACGAAAAAACAAAATGACTGAAAAACCACGATATAGGAGAGTAACAAACCTGACGCTTTGCAGGCGGCTTCAGAATTTCTTCGAGATTACATTTTTCAGGAGCTGGTGTAGTTACTGGAACAACCGCAACATGGACCTTTAATTTCAAAACACCATTGTTAACTACTAGTCATCGATAAGCACTCTTCATGCTTTTCGGTTGCAAAAATGTAAATAAAACGGTTGTAAAATACAAAGTTTAGACCATGTCTAGATCGTGCGTGAAGATCGATTTTGTGGTCTTTCTTGCCTCGACGGACATATGGGTTCGGAAGAGAAAGAAGCTGAAAAGGCCTCATAGAAACGAGGTAAGGATTGCGGCCGAAGAAAAACAGAAAAGTGTCAAAAATAAGTTTCAAGAACAAACTTAGATGAATAAACAGGTTCGCGAGTCTGTTTTGTAATCCTTTTGTATGGCAAATCGCGAAATCCCAGTGATTCAACGCTTTCAATTACAGCTCCGTGATCCAATAACATCTTGCCAGCTCGCACTAACGTTTTCAAGAGATCCGCCTGAAAACTGGATAAATACAGCGAACCAACGGCAACGAATATCAAAAACAAGGTAGCACTTCTTTGTCTTTCCACAATGCACTCTAAGACAACGGGGTATCGAAAAAAAGGGCAATGACATTAGAGGAGTATGTTCACACCTCTATATGAATGTAATAAAGATACTGCTGAAAAATGCACCGAAACCTTCGGATTCGGATTACCCGATATTTCCTGATAGACCCCCTCTCTCAGGAGTCAGTAAGACTCCATGGTGCTGTTGTTAAGGTTATAATAACAATGCAGCAACAACAATATAAATCCAGTGTAAGCCCTGGTGTGGAAAGGAGGGGTAAGATAGGAAAAAGTAAACAATAAAGGTGGACGGCATGCAAACGAACAGCTAATTTCTCCCATCTGTCCATTCTCCTTCTAGAGCTCCGTCCAAAAAAGGGAGTCGTTATCCTATCGGTCAGAAAAGAATGGTCTCAAGTTCTAATCTGCAGTATCACTTTTACCTTTGGAAGTCGAGTGTGGAATGGGGCGCATCCCTCAGACGGGATTGATCAATGCTAAAAACCTTTTATCACTCTTACCTTTGAAAGGGATCGCGTAATCAGCGAAACTTCGTATGGAGGCATTTCCTGAAAAAAAAAGAAAACTGACTCTTCCTCGAAGCCAACCACTTGTTAACGTAGAGCTGCAAAGAGTGGATAACTTAGAAATTGAAAGCAGAGAAAACAGTTAACAGGTACGTTTGGAACAAGCGGGGCAGTCACCATTAACTTAGCC